CAACAGCTTCCTAACTGCCTGTCCTGATACCACCCCCACACTCATGCAATCTAGTCTAAACACAGTAGCCAGAGTGATCCTGTTGATGTGTAGTCAGAACAGCATACTTACATGCACCAAATATCCAAAGTGCTTATTTTAACTTACAAGACCCCTACATGAACTGGCCCCCATTACCTGACTGACGTCATCTTCCACCACTCCCTCCCATTTTCCTGGCAGGAACTCACACCTCAATAAGGGCCTATGTCCAAGTTCATGCTCCACTCAAGTGTTAGTCCCCAGATGGCCTCTTGGTTTGTTTCCTCTCTTTAGAAAATCACCCTATCAGTGACACTTCTCTAGTGATCTGATTGAAAATTAATCACCAACACCATTCAACATTTCTTATCCCCCACCAATGCTTTATTTATTTTCCTGAAACTTACCACTATCTAACATACTGTCTTCCCCCAACAGAATATAAGCTCACCAAGGACAAGAATTTTCATCCGTTTTATTCTCTATAGTATTTTAGTGCTTAGACAATGTATATAGTAGGCATTCAATAAATGCTCTTAAATAAATGAATGAATGAATATAGAATTACATTAAACAATTTTTTTTTAAGTCTAGTGTCATTGGCATTCTAGGAAAGCCAGGTTGATATATTTATCCTGTAGTTCCAAGTATCCTCTGATACACAACTAACTGCCCACTAGGGCACAACTATTCCAAGTAGAGAACAGGCCCAGGAGGAAGCAAATCTCCATGGTACAGAACAAGAAGCCAGGGTTTACCTGCTAATGTCCCTCCTCCTCACACCCAGGTCACTCCATGCCTGTACCACCTAGACTGTCCCCTGCTCTTATCTTCCCCAGTGCACTCTGATGCATGCTTAGAATCTAATCTCCTTTCACCTCTTCTTCTTAGACTTCCCACTTGTTATAAAGTGATTAATTTCCCCCTCAGTGTTCCAATCTGTAGCACCCCAGCTCCGATCTTAAAGCACTTCTATTGAAACTACATTTATAGCTGTCTCCTCTGGTTGACTGTGACAGTGAATACCCTAAGAGAGACCAGGGTTTTTTCCATCATTTTATTTGGCTCAGTACCCAGCAAAGAGGTCAACACCTTGGAGGTCCTGAATAAAAGCCAGTGAATGAACCAGAATGAGAAGGACTGGTGCAGAGAGAATATAATCCCCTTGGCAGGAAGACGCCAAAGATCTAGACCTAAGGCCAAACGGATGCCCTTGTACAAACATGACTTATTCTTTACTCAAAAACAGAGAAAATATCTTCCAGGCCTAGATCCACAAGGAGTGGGGCTCACATTGGAAAACAAAAGACAAATATCCCATTAGGTATTTTATTATAATTCATAGATCATAGATTTTGCACTATATTTTAAATCCCAAAATTGATTCAGCAAATCTAGAAACAACTACATTGAAGAATGCGTGTGTCTCACCTTACCAGACCTCAACTGGTTCACCATATTCAAACAGAATGCTGGTGATAATCCTGCTGTCCAGGAAGAATATTAAAATCCAGGTTATATAATCTCCATGTTGTAAAGAGATAGCATACATCATTATGAAAAGAAGACTATAACTTAATACTCATTACAGCCTAATACATGGGATAACAGGGAACTTCTTTTAGAGGCAATAAACATGAGAGCTAAGTGCTTAAGCTCTAGAGTCTGTTCACCTAGGTTTGAATAACAGTTCTGCCACTTTGCACTCTGGAATATTAAGTTCCCCTGCCTCAGTCTCCACATAAGCTAAGTGCAAAAAACAAGGAACTTGCCTCATAAGGTTGTTTAAGAGAAATTATACATGTAAAGGGTTAGGGGAAATGTCTCATACATAATAAGTGCTCATTAAAATCTGGCTACTGATAATAGTTATTTATGAGTCTTAAAACAAAAAGTTTTCATATATGTTTCTATACTGACATAATATTAATTTAAATGTAGTGGGAGTTGAAAATTATACTGCTCAAAATATCTTAGGCCAGAAAAGATACTCCTGTGTTCCTATTTCTACCCTTTCTTGAACTTTGTCTTGAAGGGCTGATGGGGGCATGCAAAGGGCAGTACATAGAGCATACACACAAGCTCCTATCAGAGGACAGGCAGTTGCTGTCATCTGCCTTCATGAACCAGTCTCTGTCACCCCACCCTGTGATAGCCACAGCATAGAATCAGGTTTCTACAGTTTGCCCAGAGATGTACTTAATAACTAGGGGACTGGGACCAGGTTAGGCTAACTGCACTTGAGGTTGTACTTCTGTCTGACCACTCAACCTCCCCAAATTCCTTCTCCACCAACACTGGGATTGAATGGCTGACCACTCCAACTATTTCCCTCCTCCAGCACCAAAAGAAACTAAGCGGAAAAGCAGCCGAGACTCCTAGGACAGATGCCAGATGGGACCGCTCAACCTGTTAATGCTACAGGGGGTAAATCACTTGGACTTTCTGCAACTTAGATTCCTAATCCTTAATGCTGTGATATCACAGACTAATATAGACACTCATGAGGTTTTAAGGGATGATTGAATGGGAAAATAAGTATGAGAAAAAAAACACTTGGAAATTTAGGAGAATCATATGAATAAAAATGTAATTCTAATAAATGATGACTAGCTGGGTGGCCTTTCTCCCAACTTACATACTGACCTTGTTCCTTAAAGCCATGACATTATAACGATTTCCTTTATCAAAATAAATTATATCCAAAGAGAAAGAAAAATTAATGCTTTAAAGTTGTTGGGTTATAAAGATGATTGACATGACAATAAAGAATTTTAGCTTCTGCACTGGAAATTACTGAATAAGCACAAAAAAAGTAGTAATACTCAATCAGCAGTAACTATGATTAAAGCTAAAATGGATTGCCCATTCAGAGCAGAAAGAAAAAAATCGGGTCATGTTTTTACCAATGTTCATGCCCATTCCTAAAGCAAGGTAGGAAAAAAAAAATCAGTATTCACCACTAGATTTCCCTTCCTCAATTTGGCCTTCAAGCTATTTTCAAAGTTCTGAATAAACCTGGTTAAAACTTGACAGTGAGATCATTTTCAAATTCACACAATTTTCCTATCTTTTTTTTTCTTTCCTGACCAAGACCAATCATTTCCCTCCACATGCCAAGGATGCAACTACCTGAATCAAACTGCTACAACCCAGGAAAGGGGTAAAGGAGACAGGGGAATAGTATCAACAAACAAACTTAAGACTCTTATACCATGATACTCTCCGTGGATTATCCTTTGGAACAAGCCTACTTGGTGGGTATTCTATCCCCACTCTAGAGAGATCATTTATGGCTTAAAACAAAAAGTTGCTGCTTCAGGTGACACCTCTAGTAAGCTCTCAAACAGAGTTGAAAACACATCCTATCAAATCCCAGTGTTTAGGCTTCTATCACTGCTCCATGCCATCAAGACAACCAAGATCTCTTCTAAAACCTAAGGGAAATGAGGATTCTGTAGAAGGATATAGTCTATCCTAGGATTGTGTAGCACAAAGAAAGAATGAAGTGAAAATAATCTTACAAAGGACCAAGGAAGGGGGTAGCTGGGACAATAATGTAATATTAGTTGGCATTTTTCACTGTCAAAACTGAAAATGTCACTAACATCTAAAAATAGTAAAGAATTTGGTATATGAGCATGCAAAGAGTCTTTTCAAAACATAAGTCCGTGTGTAAATCTAAAAAATAAAATATTAAAAATTTAAAACATTAAGTCAAATGCAGAAATGTCTAAATGTGGCAGGAGCTCCAAAAGGGTCAGATAATATTAGCTCTGACAGTTTTCAATAAAGCTTACATTAAAAAAAAAAAAAAAACAGTGCATGTAGAGTAGACATAGAAAGGGCTGTGGAGGGCTGAGGTAGTGTTAGGGGAACCACTACTACCAAAATTAGAGGAAAGGTCCTAGAAACAACAACAACAACAAAAAAGGATGAAAATCAAAAAAATACATCCTTCAGTCTACTATTCCCACTCATTCAAAAACCTAAAATAAGGAAGTATGCTCAGATGATGTCTCATAGATCATTTCAGTCCAAGTGGAATTAAACCAGGTAAGAAAAGTAGGTTCTAGAGGAAAATATGTGTGTGTACAATTAAAATGTCAGTTCTCTCCTTTATTGTGCTCTGTTCAAGACTACAATTCTTGGTTTGACCAATAAATTACTTTATGCAAAAGAAATCTACAACAAAAATATAGTCATCTCCAATAAGCCTATCTAAAATTTATAAATCTTTTTGGGATTAACTTTTAAAATAGAATGTTTTTTTCATAATGTAATTGCCCTGCTATCATCAATTAAAACTGAATTAGTTGTAATTCAAAAACTATTTTTCTGTGTGGCAGTAAACTGCCTTTCAGTTGGGATTTACAGAAGCTATAATTAATCACTTGTCCCTAAACACTTTACGCAGGCAGTTAACAGTTACACCTTGGCTAGATTAAAGAGGTGAGTGACAACTTGTTAATCACAAGGGATACCCATCTCAAGAGGGTCACACCAAGAATGCATCCTTTCCATCTTAAGCTGGCCACTGCCCCTGTGAAAGCTCTTTTGTTTTTCATTTACCATGGCAATGCTTCTCCATGGGCAATGATCCACCTCACCACAAGGACCTCCAGCGGGGTAACCCCATGTCCACAGGTGTGCACTGGCCATTCTGAGACAAGGAAATGAGAAAGAATACAGGAAGAAAAAAAAAAGGAGGCAAGAAATAAATACAGAAGAGCAAGAGGAGCAGAGAGAATGAGAAAAAAAAAACAGTGGGAGAAGAAATAAAAGACGAGGGGAAGATAAGCAGGTGAAAGAAAGGAATGAGAAAGGAAAAGGACAAAGAGATTGGGGAAAAAGTCTATGCTAAGAAGCAGAGGTGGAGTAGGGCTCCTTCATTCCGGCCAACAGGTGAACACTGGCTGTCTCCCCTACCCTTTACTCCTTTGGGGGGAATACAATAGCAATTTCTCTGGTGCCATTACCTGGATAAGTTCGTCCAGCTCGGTGGAATTGACACAGGAGTGTTGGGATATGAATGTCTGCTTCTGGATCACAATGGTGGTCCTCTGAGAAATCTCCTGAGGCTGCTCCAATGCTTTGAACACGGTGGCTCCGATGATCAGATAGAGGACAACCACCAGGAAAATCGTGGAGACCGTCTTCCATTTCATAACATTAATGGCCGTGTCACTCTCCACCCGTGAAGCAAGCACTGTGGGTTTCGTGGAGAAGGAGAGCCTCGGTTTGGAGTTCTGAGCGGCAGATTTAGGATCCAGCAAGTCAGGTGCCGCCACTGACAACAACAGAGAAGGAGGGTTAGGCTGGAAGAGATCAAAGGGGAATGGGGCTGTTGAAGGGATCAGCAAGGGCTGGCTGAAGAGCTTGCTCTCCTGGAAGCTCTGGAACCTAACCCAGGAGCACTCTTATTGGATCTCCTGCAGGACCTTATAAATGGGTCCAAGGAAAAGGGGTTGGGTCTTGGTTCCTTGCTGCTATTGGTGATCCAGGTGGAAGGAAGAAAACAGGAGTCAGACCCAGAAACTTAGGAAAATAAGAGGATGTCTGAGGGCTTCCTAATTAATTTCTAATTTTATATCTGCCCATTATTTGAGTCAACGAAGACATACCAAACTTCTACGAGTTCATGGTCATGAAGAAACCTAATGGCTTATTCTTGTTCTCAAGAACTTCATAGTGCAAATGATGGATATAAAGAACACCTTATTTTTGTTATAAATTTTATTATAATAAGGAATTGTATTGTAATTGCATTAAAAATTATTTACAATCAAAACAGTGTTGCTAAAAAGAAATCGATCTTGATTTTCTCATAAAACAGGTATGAGTAAACCACTCAGTCCAATTTATTTATTTATTTGTTTGTTTGTTTCACCCAATTTCCAAAATGGACACAGTGTGAAACATCACTATTTATTTTCTGACATGTTTAAAAAATAAATGTTATTGCTGACCCTTATGGCACAATGTTAGGTAGAGAGAAGAAAAGACAAGTTCCTTCAATTTCTACAGTGAGTAACTTCAAGATAAGAGGAATTTAAACCTTTGCTCACACCTGAGTCCCTACATGCTCTGTACAAAACTAATTGCTCCATTAGAGCGTGTTTACATGCTCTCTTACAAATTCCCGTATACGCTGAGGTGACTCTAAATTCATTTATTATTTATCTCAACTGTTCAAAAATATCATTAATGGATTTCTTTTTAGAAAATACAAGAGCTGCTAGACTTCCACTTGCTAAGGGAAAAATAAGCCATCCATTACAGAACATTTGCTTAGAAAAGCATCATTGAACTAAAAAGGGTTAACAGAATGGCTAAAATATATGGAACTTAAAAACAAAATACCAACTCAAATAGAATAGTCAATTTAAAGTCTAACGTTGTTATAAGTAATACCGTTGTCATGTATATAATGTAGGTTTTATTAAATGATTACTTAATCTAAAACACACTTCTAGGTAACTATACAAGAAATCTCATGGAAATGCACACAAATATCCTACAGCCACCTGAGGATAAGATGCTCATAAAGAGTGTCAATTGTAAAACAGCTCCCTACTCTGCTCTCCTACCTAACATTGTGAGTTAAATGTAGGCTACCATAATGTGAGTTCATAAAATACATCTTCAGTTGCCCATCAAAAAGAAGCTTTCCAAACAAAGCTGTTTGAAGCCCTAGACCTAAGTAGTATTGCAAAATGATGGCAGATGATACAGGCTCCCCAACCAGGAAAGCTCAGAATAGTTTTGACATTGGAGAGATGAAATCAGAGCTGTGATTGAGGACACCCTAGCCCTGGATCCAAGTGGAGATTCCACTTGCATAGAGCTCATCAGAGCAAGAGTTCAACCTTTTTCACACAAGTATGTACAGGTTTCTCTCCTGATACATCCACCTGTTCTGAAAAACCACAAGCTAGGAGACACCTTTATATTTAAAATTAGTACTGGGCATGTGTTTAATGTTTTGATTTAAAACAGACACACACACACACACACACACACACATTTTCTAATAGAATGCTCATAATAGCTAAATTCACTGTTGTCTGCAGTCTCAGCAGCACCTTCCCCTAGCTGCTTAGTAAGTCTGAGAGAAAAAAAAAAAAAGTCATAATCTAAAATTTAGCCAATTTTGGAATAAAAATAATAGAAAATTACACAGAAGCTCCACATTATCTCCAAGCTTTCCAAGCCGCTCCTCCCCACATCTCTGTGCTCTTGCCTTTCTGATTTTTCACATCACTGGTTTGCTAGCCTGTAGAATTGGAAAACACCAGGACTGTTTACCTTGAGGCTATCAAATCTCAACCCAAAATCCCACTAAGACATTGTTATTATATGTTTTGAGGAAAAGAGGATAGATTTTAAAAACATATATATATATATATTGTGTGTGTGCCAGTGTGTTTCTGAAGGAGTTTAATCTTTTTAAGCTCCTGTTTTATTTTTTTTAATTTTTTTAATTAGCAGAATATATATAATGCACACTTGGCAGACAGAATGGACAGAAACTGGTGTGAGATATATATATGGTTGATATAGGCTGATACTTTATATCAGCCTTTTCTCTGGATCTAATATGGGAAATCTCTGGGTTTCCATACACCCCTTTTGAAGAAGAGCTGACCCTTCCACACACTCTCAGTTCCATTACTACCCCCACCCCCAGCATAGCACACTCTCCTGTTCTTCCTGGTCTCCCTTCCTCACGCTGATATGTCTTCGTTCGCGTCGCAAATGACCACCAACCAGCAGGAGAAATGAGCCTTTTTTTCAGCACCACTGCGTGTCCCACCATGCAATGGGCAACAAGTGTGACGAGGGTCACCATGCAACCTGCCTGTCGGCTACTCTCAAGGGTTGACCCTCCTCCTCCATCAGAAACTCTCCCAACGTGTTCCAAACCCATACCCAAGGCAGATGCAAAGACCCCAGGCGCCAGCGGGAGTGGGGGGGAGTTGGGGGGCAGAAGCCGCCAGGAGAAGATCCGGGAATGGGTTTGCCTCCAAATCCAGATAATGATCCAACACTTTGGACGGAAAACGAAGATCCGAAACGTCCGCTTGCTGCGAGGGGACATCTGCAGCCCTCTCAGGGCTGGCTGGGCCGGAAAGCGCGAGGCTGGGGGGTGGCGGGGAGCGTACCCGGGGGTCTCACCTCCTGCTCTATAACCAGGTCTCTCCCGCGAGGCGCTGGGAAGCATGAGGCATGCAGCATTCAAAATGTTTTTTGAAAAAGACGGACTTGAAGCTTTTTTACAAACACGCCATTGTACTCACTTCTTATTCAGAGACGGGCTGCTGCGCGCTCCGAGCTGCATGGGCAGGCATTTTCCCCGGCTTTGTTTTACAAGGTGGGGAGAGCCGGGCTGGACGCGGGAGGGGGTGTGGGGGGAGCGTGAGAAGAAACGAAATCGCGGGAAGGAGGGGACACCGGCGGGCTGGGCAGAGGGCGAGGCTGAGGCCAAGTTGGGTTCGGGCTCAGCCGCCCCCGCGCGTGCCTGCGGCCGGGCCCGGGTCACCCAGAGAGCGCGGGCGACCCGGGTCCCGCGCCGGCCAGCAGCCGCCGCCGCGGCGCGCTCAGCCCAGGGCTCCGCGCTGGCCCGGCCTCCGCGCGGCGCAGCGCGGGGGCGGTCGGTGCAGCCCAAGTGGCCGTGCGCCCCGGCGTCTTTGTGCGCGAGCCTCGCTCAGCCCCTCTTCGCATGTCTTTGTGTCTCCCCGGGCAAAACCCTCCGTGCCCCGCGGTGGGGGTGTGGCACGGTCTTGGCGCCCGTGGCTCGCCGCCCTCGCCGCTCGCCCTTCCCGGCTGGCTTCTTCGCCCCTCGCCGGCTCCTTTCCCTCCTTTCAGAACTCCCTCCCCCTCGCCTCCACCTCCCTCGCTGTCTCACCGCCTGAGCTCGCCTCTCCGCACCCCCTTCTGGCCCAATCCTCGCCCGCGTCGCCCTTACTGGTGCTCCCTTCCAGAGCCTGGCTCAGCCCGCCTCCCCGCCTGGGGCACAGCCCCTTGGCTCACCTGCTGCCTCTCCCCGTGTCAGCCCGTTCCACTATTAAACGCCACCCCCCCCCCCAAAAATACACACACACACACACACACACACACCATCTCCTCATTCTCTCTGTCTGGCATTCATATGCCCCAGAGTTCCATTCCGTCTTCTTCCAGGTCGGGCGCGGCATGTGGGACCTAAGCTCTGGAGCGCGGATACCCAGACCTTTGCAGGTGGGCATCTTCCTCATCTTCGTGCTCTCCCTCACCTGGCCAGGGTGGTATAGGGATATGCCCTTCATTGGCGCCCTGGAGTCGGGGAGGTTTGAAGTCCTACCCTCTTACTATCTGCACCTGGGAAAAGGTATTAACTCGTCACCAGCAATCCCCACTACACCTCCAAGGGTGATTGAGATGAGCCTGGAGCGCAGTTTGGCAGAATGTCCCAGGCCAGAAATGACAGGGACTACAACCGGAGTCAGGGTGAAGACATCTAGAGGTGCAGAGGGGAAAAAAAGAACACCCTTTGCCCTGGACACAGGTTGCTAAAGGCTGTCCTTGGGAGCCTCGGAGTGGGAAACCTCCGACCTCAGCTGGAACTCCAAGTTCCCAGTCCCCTTACCCCTTCAGGTGCCAGTTTGACAGGTACAAACCACGCCCAGACACGAAGAAGGCAGCTCAGGGAACTTGTGGCAACAGGGATTTAATAGGCGAATCCTCTCACAACACACAGGATGTTGTGGAACTTCAATCCGTTTGTAAACTTTCTCTTCCCACTTTCGCTGCAGGAATCCCCTGCTGACCTCCATCCTCCCACCCCACTGCTATGTATGAGTTCATCTTCCATAACTGCTGCTCAGCCAGTTTGGATTATTTTCCCAATTAACAAGGAGAACTTCCTAGTGAAAGGTATAGACGTGACTACAAAAAGAAGCGTATGACTCTTTTGCAAGACTGTCCCACCATCAATAATAAAAACACTATGTTATTATTTTAGATTCTAGACTAGATTCAGCACCTTCTTCCCTATTAAAATATATATTATCCATCCTGTTGGAATTGAAGCAAGTTTTCTAAACTTCTGCTCTCCATAGTAACACAAGTCCTTTCTAAAATGTGAATCTAATCTTTCCACTCCCAGAAACTTAAAACCCTTCCAAAGTCTCTAGGTCACATATAATGTGCTTCATGATCTAGCTTTTCATTCCAGCCCTTTCTAGATATCATCACCTTGCCTTGCACTTTCCCCCACCACACACATACCTCACACCTTACATGACTAAG